TCAGGATGAGTCCAAAACCAGGTGCTGGATATGGGGAGACATTTCCTTCACAGGTCTGGCCCAGACGTCACATGTGAAGGAATTACATCTCCTGGTGGTATGACCAGCTGGGTCAGATGCAAACATACGTGTTGAGTAGAAAGGTCCCTATCCATGCTATCTCTTGACAGTAATTTGCTAGTATAGCCATACCTTTGCTCTTTCAAAGCACATATTCATTAGATAGGTCTACATGCATATGTAAATATGCATTACTTTAATAATTCCCCAACACTTTTGTCTTCCTTTCTGCTCCCATATTTCTCTCCCCTCCAGCTTATAATAAACAAAATGGTGTCAGGTGCCCATCTTACCCTGGTCAGGACCTACTGACCAATCTCCACACTGCCAGGGCACGCGGCATCCCAGGCAATGCTGGCTGCTCTCCCAGCCTGGGCTGGAGGCTGTCACCCAGCCAGCCACCACTACTGCTTGGGGCATCTTCCCACCCTCTCCAGCTCATGACCTCTGATGAATTATGATCCCTGTAATTGTCTCCTTTTACCATGAGGAATGTTAATCCTGGGGTTTGTTGCCTCTCCCAGTTTTATAAAGACCATCATAAGGAATTTTTTTTTTTGTCTCCCTGTCTATTTAGACTGCAAATCTGTGGAAAGGGATGATCTCTTTCTTGATAACTATGCGGGCTGGTAGTCATCGGGGCGGTGCACCTAATACTGAATGAGCTCAGTGAAGTCTCTGCCTTGAACAGTCTTTTTTCCTTACCATATTTGTTCATTTTCACCTGAATTGTAATAGGATCAGTGTATGAGTTTCAGAAGTTGTCTAACCACCAATCTCCTCTGTGCACCTGTCTGCTGGCCGATTAGATTACAGCTTTTTTCCACTCTGTTGCTTAGTGCATGGTAATAGACATTTCATCATCCCATTACATTAAAACATAAGAAGAGCTGCTCTGGGTCAGATCAAAGGTTCAGCCATTCTAATTCCAAAACTGAGCAATCCCAAACACTTAAGGAGAGAGAGCAGAAGGAGTAGGGTGACTACACAGCATTGCAGCAAAATGGTCATTCTTTGGTAGACGTCTCTGTTTTCTAGGAACTGGCCATTGATGGAGTTCATGCAGCAGCCATTGCAGAGGGTTGCTGTTTTTAACAGCCCCCAATGGCTCCAGCCTCTCTCAAGGACTATGGGGGACCTGCAGCATCACGTCCCCCAGTGCTGCTGGGTCACATAACCTGCGAACGAGCCCACATTCCCACTTGCACATGGTGTTCAGGCCAGCTTATTATTCGTGCAACATCCTCGTCTTGTGGTTAACGCAGTATCCTGTCCTCCCAAAAAAGACGACTCAAGGCCTGGTTCGGTCAATAGCATGCCAGCCTAGGAAACTCACCTCAAGAACTCATTCAGAAATAGACTTTCTCAGGCAAGTTACGCTGTCCCACAGAAGAAACAGCTCTTCCCACTCACCAGGGCTCATGCTGCTGCAGGAAGGGCTGTATAGGACATAATGTTCTGGGATATGCCATGAAAAATGATTTCTAGTTTATTTATAAAGGCAATCCTAACTAAGCAGTGCTGATGTGCCCACTTGGTTGGAGATGTGTCTGAAACCGTAATCTCTGGGAAAGAAAGAAGACAGAGCTGTAAAGCAGGCAGCAGGAACTTCATTGCTCGGGAGCCTTGGCCCCAAATTGGCAGGGACCTGTGTGGGGACTCAGCAGGGAGCAGCAACCCCCCCGAGAGCAGTAAGCTATTTAAACAGCACACGCTGTACTCTTGGTTAGCAGGAGTTTGCATAACCATGCAAAGCCCTCGAGCCTGGGAGCTTCTAAATAAATGCCACATTTATCAGTATCTAAAGCAGAAGAACATCCCACCTACCCTTCCCCGACCCCATAAAACAATGTCATTAGTAAAGTCAGATAGCATCATTTGTTTCTTTAAGGGTTAAAAAAATAATCCACAGCCACTGCCAGGAAGAGGCAGAACTAAACAGGCAGCGAAGAGTTAGAGGCAGAACGGAGATATAAAGCTAAATCAATCATCAAAACGGACCACAGCGAGAGCATATACGTACAGAACAAGAAAGAAAGCGAGAGGGCGTTTTGTTTGGGTAGCTAATGTTCTCTGGACGAGGAGAGAGAAATTCTCCTTTGGGTTTTTAATGCCACTCTAAATATTTATAGCAAGATCATGGCCAGCTGGTGAGGCAGTGGCGACGGGGAGTAGGGAGGGGAGGGCGCATTTTCCCTCGTGCCCCAACATCATCCTCCGGGTCATCTCTTTACTCCAGGAGGGGGAAAAGGCTGTACATTGCCATGTTTACCCTCAAAGTGACTCCTCCGCAGGAGTCAAGCCCGGTGGCTCCTGCCCTTCCCCTCCCTCACCTCGCCTGGCCGTTCACACACACGTGTACACGCACACGCACAGATTGTGCAGGAAGGGAAGATGCTGCGGCTTCCAGAAAGCTATGCCAGCCCGACTCCACCCTGTCTTTAACATGGGTCTGGGCCTTCAGGGTTTTGTCTAGCCTTCAGGCATTTCACCATGTTGTTATGCTGCATCGAAAAGTCTCTGGGAAAGGCCACGTACGGCATGACCCGTGATGCAAAGCTGCTGTTTTTAGAGGGACAGGCTGCCCCCATCCCTGCAGTCTGCTGGGTCACGGAGGCAGGAACATATGGAGGACCACAAACATTAGCACGGCACGGGAGCTGACATAAGGGAACTGTGGATCCCAATGATTTTCGCTCATCTGCCTCGCTGTGACTAGGTGCAGACGTGACCCACCTGTGAGCATTGGCTTTGAAAATATGAAAAGAAGTTTTGCTTTAACCTTGTGTTTCCCTGTGGTAGCGATGCTTTAGAAATGACATTTTGGACTGAATCTCATCCCAGAACAAGGGGAAGAATTTCAGCACAGATGAGGGGCCCAATTCAGTTACCCAGGCATGGGCAGCTGATGCCTTTTTTTTTGAAACACCCAGGAAAGTGGCACAGAGCTGAAACACATCATGCTGGACCTGCTGGAGACCCCAGCCGGGGACCAGCTGGGGCTGTGGAGGATCCTCCACTGGCACAAGGTGCTCAACTGATTCCAGCCCTGGGGAAGGGTTTCTTTGCAGATACCATGGGAGTGTTAAACATGGACACCTACATGTGATTGAGGCAGCTGAGCACCCATGGAGACTTAGCAGTGCCTGGAGGACTGTTCACCTGCCCAAATATAGGTGGTACTTACCGGTGACCTGAATAACTCAGCAGATTCAGCTGTACTGACTAGACCTCACTGGCTGCAAAAGGAGCTCAGACACCTTGTTCACGTGCAGGCATCTGCAGCTAGAAACCCCATCGAGGCATCTGCCCCAGGGAGCCGAGTGCCACCCTGGGACCTGCCACCCTGGGACCATGGTTTCCAGCTTGCTGGACTCACTGCAGCAACCCACTCCAGTCCTCCCACCCGTAACGCTGAGCTTCCTCAAGCCACCTGCTTGAGAAGATCTTTGCTAAGGGTTTCAGGGAGCTGAGGTATTTACGCAAATGGCCACAACCTGGTTATTTTCTATATGAAATATCAAGTGGCATCACAAAGATAAATTGCTCCAAGAGTGAATTTTGTCCTCTACTTGGCGGAGGCAGCCAGGCTTTCCCTGCCCACCTTGGGACAGCCCTGGGCGCGGGGGCCCCGCTGCATCAGCATCTCCCACCAGACTGCAACGGGCCAATGCTCCCCTGATCTCTCCATAAGGTGGAGACACGGACCATCCCACCAGGGTCCCTGGAAGCCCTTCACTCTCCCTCTTCTTCCATGGAAGCACGGTGACAATGCATTACCTAGCACGAGGCGTTGCAGACTGTTTACAGGCTTTTAGAGTTCCCAGGCACTTTAGGACAGGGTCCTGCCGCTATTTCCAAACAGACGGCCAGGACTTTTGTAAGTGAACTTTCCTCTCCGCGTCTATTTATTATATGTAAACATTTGCCAGAAAAACACCACTCGGGCATGCTCAGTACTGGCCAGGTCATTGCAAAAGGCAACGGCGGCGTCACATGTGATAACAGCGAGCAGCCCGCGTGCGCCTATTCTTAGCGCTGGAATGTATACAGTGCCCCTCCGCCTCGCCGCTCCTGCGCACAGCTCCCGAGAGCGGCAAAAGTGACTGCAGAATAAACACGGCCAGAAATCACCCTCTATGAATCACTTACCTACTGAAAGAAACGTCCTGTGGGTTTATAGGTTTTTATCCAGGCTCTAGCTATGGAAAATCTCAGCAGAGAATAAACGGCAGAGAGTAAGTGAATGCAGTGACGGACAACAGAAGGTAAATTTTTCTACCCTACCGTTTCACTGCAGGTCGAGCAGTTAGCCATGACAATATTCATCATATTGTTCTGCCTGGCACTTAATTTAGTCATTGTGTGTCTGATTAACATAAAAAAAACCCCACAGCTAAGCAGAGTTAATAAATAACCGTTTTAATGCAGATTCCCAGTCTCTAGGGTTTCGTTTGCCCTGCTGCAGAGTTCAGCTCTGCCAGATTTACATTCTTTGGGAGTGACTAACTCTAGGGGAAAGAGGCGCAAGCTACTAAACTGCTAATACTTTAAAATAGTGAATAAATGTCTAAGCACATTTATTCAACGTGATTAAAAGGAACAAACCAATCGCTTCAGTCATCCAGCTTTCATCCCAAATCAGTGAGATAACTTCAGTGCTTTTGCTTCTTGCCAGGGACACAGGCAGTGCTGACCTCAGAGCTGCAACCTATCTGATAACTTTATGAAAATTTTAGAGTCTTAGCGACCTTTTAGCTTCTTTATTATTTTCCCACTGTGCTTAATCCATGTTCCATTTTTATGCGTAACAGTGAACGGATATTTAGAGCAACATCAAAGCCCCGATTTGTTCCCTTGGAGCTGGATATTTCAATAAAAGCTGCGAAGAATTTGGGTTTTCCCACCAAGTCCAGAATTCATCTCTCTCCTATTTTGCTATGGAGGACGGATCCACTGAGGAGTTTCTCTTCAAAGACCATGACTTCTCCTCCGAACTGCTGAGGCAGCTGAATTCTCTGCGGCAGAGCAGGATGCTGACTGATGTTACCCTCTGCTCCGGGGCCTTCGAAATCCCCTGCCACCGAAACGTGCTGGCTTCCAGCAGTCCGTACTTCAAGGCGATGTTCTGTAACGACTTCAGAGAGAGTCGCCAGGCTAAAGTCACCCTGAAGGGCATCGAGGCCGAGATTTTGGATCAGATTATCCTTTATGTTTACACAGGGGAGATTCTTATATCCTCTGAGAATGTCCTGTGCCTGTTGGAGGCGGCCTCCATCCTGCAGTACGCTAAGCTGTTTGAGGCCTGTTCTTCCTACCTCCAAGACAAGCTGACTCCTGACAACTGTCTGAGCATGGTCAGACTGGCAAAAGTGTTGAACTGCCAAAGCCTGAATAAGAAAGCCAAGGCTATGGCTTTGAAATGCTTTCCTGAGGTGGCCTCTTCTGACGACCTGAAGGACCTTTGTCCCTTGGAGCTAATAGATTACCTTGGGGATGATGAGCTCTGTGGAGAGGAGGAGCAGGTCTTTGAGACACTGATGGTCTGGATCCGGCATGACCTCCAGGCAAGACAAGGCTACATCCAAGAGTTGTTCAAGAAGGTTCGGCTTCAGTACGTCCATCCAACTTTCCTCTTCCACTTCATTGCCAATGACTCCCTCGTTCAGTCCTCACCCACTTGCAGGAGCATCCTTGAGTCAACCCGGAGACACTTGTTTTCTTTGTATAGCACCAACGCGCCTGACATCAAGCCCATGCTTCATGTTCCTCGCAGGTACTCCAACCAAGAGTTCCTCATCATCATTGGTGGCAGGAAGGACAGCCAGCAGACAACAAGGGATGTCCTGCTCTATGATGACAAGACGAGCCAATGGCTAAGCCTGGCCAAACTTCCCATGCGCCTCTACAAAGCCTCTGCAGTGAGCTTACACAGCAATATTTATGTGCTTGGAGGGATGCCTGTTAGCAATAGGAAAAGCCCGGTCAGTGATAATATTTACATTTACTCCCTCAAACTCAATCAGTGGAGGCTGGCTGAGCACATGTTAGTTCCACGCTACTCCCACAGAAGCTTGGCATATAAAAATTATATTTTATCATTCGGTGGAATTGGAGAAAACCAGGAAATCCTGAATTCAGTGGAAAGATATGATAGCGTCTACAACACCTGTGAGAGCATGGCAAATATGCCTGTTGCTGTCCTTCACCCTGCTATTGCTGCCAAAGATCAGAGGGTCTACCTCTTTGGGGGAGAAGACATTATGCAAAACCCTGTCCGGCTGATCCAGGTAATGGTCAGTCCTGCTTGTCATAGGCAGTTTCATCGAAGGTATTCAGCAGATTATCACCCTCCTGAGGAAATCAAACTCTCTAAAAAACTTTATTGTGAGCTGCAGCAAGAGGCAGGAAGGGTTGACACATGGCTTCAGGGAAGTCTTGTCTGCAAGGAGCATTGCAACTCTTTCATTTTCCTCTTTGAGTATTTTTCAGGCACAAGCCCCGAGGTACCTCTTTGGGTGTCAGTCAGCTCTGCTGCTGGTGGGCACTGGGGCCAGGGCTGTTGCAGGTGATGTGATGGCAGGCAGCGGCTGCCCCCCCTCCCTGCCCTCATGCCTGTAGCCAATCTCACGGAAATCTGTGCTTTCCACTTGGCGGCTGAGCTGGGGTCTCGGCCGCGCACCTGCTCACTCGCAGCGAAAGCAAAGATTTGCAATCATTAGAGCGATTAGATTCCCACTCATCAAAGGGCCAGGACTTAAACTGACAATTATTTCGTATAAACAGTTGTGTTAAATATGTGGCTCCTGCCACATGTTGCTGGCTTTCTGCATGCTTTCAGGGGTTACGCTCTATTAGGAGGAAAAAATACATGAAATCCTTTCTTATCTGATTTGATGCTTTAGCAAAATTGTAGTGTTACTTTCCTCGTGAGTGTTTTTCACTAGTTTAGGTGTTTTAACAAAGAAGGCTCATTAAAGGCTACTATAGCAGCCAGCACATGAGCAATACTTCTTGACGGTGATAACACTACTTGATTATCGAGGGAAGGAAATGTATTTATCAGTTAGTGGGGAGATGTCCTGGAGATATTTGGTATATTAAGAAGCGGATGACATGATGTAAAAGTTTGCATCACCCAAATACAGATGACTGAATGATCCCCATCTGGAAACAGCTCTTTTTCTCACAGAAATTGATGACTTAGATACAACTCTACGTCCCATCAAGAAGTCCCTTTGCATGTCTGAGTGCATACCAGCCACCAGCTCAAATATAGCAGCTGGGCAAACACAGTGGCTGCCAGCAGAGCTGGTGAAGTTGAGGTTTTTTTGCCCAGGAAATTGCTAAGGCTAAGGCAGGAATAGACAGAATAACAGGAAAATGAAATGAAATGGCTTTGGGCTTGGGGGGGGAGAGCGTTATCCAAGAGTTACAGCAATTTAATGGCCGTGCAAAGATTTACAGCCGAGAAGCTTGCACATGGCAGATACACTCTGCCTTAGTGCATGTGCTAGCATCTCCTGAGCAGACAAGCCTGGATGACTAGAACGCTTTCCAAGGGGACATATTAGGAAAAAAAGTGGGTAAGCCCTCGTATTTCCAGCAGCTCAAGCCAGTGGACTGTATTCACTAGGACAAAATAAAAAACAGAAGTTTCTCTGTAATTACAATTGCCAGTTAAAATGCAACATAAACAGCTGCATGTGTATCTTTATTTATCTGTCAGGTTTACCATGTCTCCAGGAATATGTGGTTTCGGATGGAGACCAGAGTGGTGAAGAATGTCTGTGCACCAGCTGTCGTGATTGGAGACCAGATTATCATCGTAGGTGGTAAGGGCTCTGTTTCACTCTCCCTCCTACCTCCTCCTGCCCAGCTCCTACGGGATTTTAAAGCCTTCCTGCTTGGGATGCTCCCTCAAAAAGTACATGGAGGTTGGGAAGGAAAGTAGGACTGTGTCCACCCTCCATACACAGGGGGTTTAATGGCCATGGAAGTGGGGACAAGTTCTCCACGAGGCACCTTCTTACTCCAAGTAGCAGGACCTGGGTGGAGGGAAACTGGGGAAGAGCCAATGCAAGCTACTGTTGTGCAGAAGAAAGGAGGAAGCCAAGGGCATGGGGTCCTGCTCCTCCCCTGCTGACTCACAGCCTGGCCCTTCCCGACTGCTCTTCTTGGCAGGGTGGAGAGCACGATTGTCACAAGACCACGCATGGACTGCTGGGATGGGTGGGCTACAGGGCTATGAGGGGTCGATCGGTCCTGTAGCTGACTCCTGGGGGTAACTGTGAAATGTACGGTGAGGGGCATGAAACACTTGGAGAGGGGAAACTTCTCAGTGTCTTTTTCAACCTGAGGATCAGCCTCTGCCCATCGCACTTGCATGGATCACGTCACTGGTAGTTTGGCAATTTGCAGTCCTTAATGCAGCTCCCCTGACCACAGGCTGGCACGAGGAAGCATGTGTTGTTAGATTATTTAAGGGAAAATGAGACATAGGGAAGCTTTAGCAGAGCAGAGGACTGAACCCAGATCACACAGGACTCAAATATGGCATCATCTCTCAGCGGGAGGCCACTGCTACCCTTTGCAGTGAGAATAGGGAAGAGCTCAGTCAAAACATACAAGACTGTCGGGCTCCTGTGTGGAAGATTACCCTGACCTCAGATCACAGTGCCCAAAATACAGTATTTTCAACTCTCTTATCTTCAGATGCATTAATCTGAAGGGCTTGTATTGACCCAAGTCTGCTGCTGCTGAGCTTAAGTTCTCAATTTGTTTTGTATTTGTCTAACAAAAGCCACAGAAATTCATGTTAAATTTAAATATCTTTCATTTTGCTTGAAAGCAGAGAAATTCACCATGGTCAGGTTTTATTTACCATCTCCCATGCCAAAATATTGGCCAAACACTCTTAGTTTATTAACAACAGTAAACCCCACAAAAATAACATTTTCTCTTAAAAATAGCTTTCATCACATTTCAGGTCTTCTTTGCATGACTGGTCACATCATAGCAAAGCAGAGTGGATTGGCCTCAAGCTGCATCAGGGGAGGTTTTGATTGGATATTAGGAAAAACTTCTTTACTGAAAGAGTGGTCAGGCATTGAAACAGGCTGCCCAGGGAGGTGGTGGAGTCACCATCCCTGGAGGTGTTCAAAAAACTTGTACATATTGCACTTCAGGACATGGTTTAGAATGCATGGTGGTAATGGGTTGATGGTTGGACTTGGTGATCTTGGAGGTCTTTTCCAACCTTTATGATTCTATGATTCTAAGACAGACTTTAATTTTTGTTAGGGAAAGTGGCTTCAAGGCCTGCAAAACATGGCCCAAAGCAGCTTGTTTGCCATGGGCAGTCTAGATTATCTACAGAGATACATGGGCAACGTGCTGCTGGGTACCAAGCTTCCACACCTCTCTTGCTCCAGGGCAATGGCCCTGGCACCAGCGCTTATCTCCCACTAGATGAGAGGGTCCGTCACCACTCAGTGGAATTGCTGTCCAATGGGTCACTGGCATGGTGGCCAGCACAGACGTGACACCGAGGGCTTTGGGAGTGGAGCAAGCACCGGTAGCACTGTGCTGTTGTGTGCCCAGCTCTGTTCGTTAGACAGCTATGGCTCCAACCCACTGTTGCTCCATCCCCACGTGCCATTGGTTTCTGTATTTCCGAGTGAAGGAGTCAGTTGGGTGAAAATAAATACTTTGGGATGTTTGAAGGCACATGCAGAAAACCGCAAGCTCCAGCTGTGTTCCACAGGTTGTTTGCCTGATCTGTTGGGTTTTATGGTGCTCATCGAGTCTCGGCTGCCAAGGTGCTATGAGACAGGGTGAGGACAAACAGGAACAGAAGATAGAAAGATGGGCATTCTTGTGACACATCATCACTTCCCAGCTTAGATATCTTAATTCTGCTAAATTAGGTACCAGTATAATAGGTTTTATTGAAGACTGTCAGGAAATATATTATCATTCCTCTGCTGGCCATAAGCTCTAATTCCCATCTGTCTCTTCCACCTCTGGCTTTGCATTTAGGGTACACCCGGAGAATAATCGCTTATGATACAAAAGGCAACAAGTTTGTTAAATGTGCGGACATGAAGGACAGACGAATGCATCATGGGGCCACTGTCATCAAGAACAAGCTGTATGTCACAGGAGGACGATGTCTCACCGTGGACAATGTCATCGAAGACTTGGATTCCTTGGACTGCTATGATCCAGAGACTGACACATGGGCACCAAAGGGAAAACTGCCACACAAACTCTTTGACCATGGGTGCCTTACACTCCAGTGTGTCCCCTGTTCTAACCTTCTCTAAATGACCTTTGGTACTTCCCAGGACATATTGTGCTTTCCTTCGCAGAACAGACCCACCTGTGCAGAGAGCAGGGGAGTCCTCACAAAGTCCCACAAACTCCTGACCTGGAAGGCACCACTGGCGTTAGTCATTCCCCGAATGCTCTGCCAGAAAGGTCATGAGCTTTGTGCTCATGCCATTTTCACCTCACATTGCATGTGGTGCTGCAAAGCTCAGCCTGGACGCCTTACTGACAGCCTCAGCAGAAAAAGGGAAAAAGATACTGAGTAAGAACCTGGTGCAGGATTTGGCCTTGCACAGCCTTTAAAGCAAAAGGTGACTAGCAATGCTGGTATCTCCAGGGAAAGTAAGATCTGGGTAACCTGCATTTGTTAGCGTGCAAACTCAGCTGCATGTTGTGGCCCTTTGCTGCTCGGTGCTGACCAAGCTTGCCGTTTCGAGTGGTGGGAGCGTTTAGAATAGGAAGCCCCAAGCTCTGCTCTTGTAGCCACTCCAGCAGCAGCTGCCTGCGTTAGCTATGGTAGTCATCTCATACAAAATAAAACATTAATGTCCCTAACATCGAATTACAAATTAGCAAAAGGCTGATGGATCTGACCTCTCTCATAGCTACAAGGTGCAGATTTTGACTTTTCTGAGCTACCTCTCTTTCATGCTGCAGAGGAGATTTTTGCTCCGTCTGCTCTCCAAAGCATCAGGAGAAGAAGGAATGGAAATGAAGATTGTCTGCGTCTTCTTTTTCGAGAGATCATGTTTTGCAGTGAGCTTGCTTCTCCTTTTTCATTGGGGATAGCAGTGGGGTTGGTTAGGAAGCTTTTTGGCTGACGGAATTCCTGAAATCTGGAATAGCAGAGAAGACACATCAAGGAAAGAGGATGTAAAGGAGAAGAGGTGTTTGGGAGGAACACTTTCTTTTTTTTCCCTTTCTCCTCTCTCCAAACCACTGGAAAACAGCAATGAGAGAAAGCCAGTGACAGGAAACCAGCTTTCCAAGAAGGGCAAGTCTAAATCTGCCACTTGGCAAAGCAGCTCTGGCTCCACCAATATTTTTGTGGGGTTCTGCCACTAACTGCATATTTTAAAAGGGAGGGGATTAATCGTGGGATACTGAACAGGCTGTGAACTGCTGTCAGGTCATCAGGCTTGGTAGGATTGCTGAGATAGCAAGGAGCTTTAAAGATAGCACTGATGACCACCATCCAGAGAAAGGATGGCAGAAAAAACACCCCTGTTTGCTAATATCTTACAGAAAGTGGGTCTTTCCCAAGGGTACAGGGTAGCATGAGGAACCCATGCTCAACCCTCCTCTTCACAGAAGGCTGCACAGCCATGTGCTCACCACCACATTGCAGGGCACCAACTCCAGCAGCTGAGATCCCCTCCCATAAACCTGTACCTGGGAGCAGAAGGGCGAGATAAATAGTTAACGAAGTGGGGGGCCGGAAGGAAGAATTGCATATCAACTGCTGTTTTAAAAATGCAAAATAAAATGGTTATGATTGTTTGTATGAGCTTTGTGTTCAGGACTCTCCATTGTTCCCTCTGCATTGTTGATAAACGGAATTGTTTTTGTACCAGCAGTTTCTGCCAGGGTTTCCTTCTAAGGATCTGAGTAAACCTGCAAAAAATGAGTGGGAACCCAAACTCATCTCCCAGCTCGGAAGCATTTGGCTACGTTTCTCCTCTGTCTTTTGGTCTATATCATCATCTTCTCCCCATGCAAAGCAGGGCTAAATCACAGCACTTGCCAAATTGGACCAGAGCAGTGATTCATTCTGCTTCCTCGCAGGCCAGCCCCAGCTCTCTGGAGAAAGAAGCCTTGTCGTGGCCAATTATGGAAAGTCTGCCCCAGGGAGATGTTTATTCCTAATCCCGCAGTGCCGCCTTACCAAACTCCTTCCTGTTGTGACCCCACTCAGCTCCAAAACTCAAGGAGATGCCTGTTACTGCCATGCATTTTAGCTGACACGGATTCCTGCCAGGCTCGTGACTGTACCCAGAACCGAGGAAAAAAAGCTGACTTGGGGCCATAACCCCATGTTTCCAAACCGTTGCCACAGTCATTGGATTACGCTTGGAAGAAAACAGATTTTTTTAATTCCTGTGTCATATAACTGGTGATTTTCTCAGCATTCATGCAGGGACCAAATAGTATCTTGCACAGCTGTAGCTGGGCAGGAAAGGGGGATTACAAAGCAGAGGCACAGTCGCAGCAGCTTGGGGCACGGCATTCTTCACCCAGCCCTCAGGGAGCCCTCATGTCACCCCCATGTCCTTGGAGATGCCAAAAGCTGTGGCCAGCTCTGCTCTGGCTGCAACCCTGTGCTCCTTCCTTTCACAAACTCCTCACCTTATGCCCATAATTCAAAGAATTTGGGTTTGCTGGGCAGTAAATACAAATCCTGGTTTCTGATAGACTTCTGTTTTGTGGTCGGTTGGCTTTGATGCAGACTCTGACCAAAGCTTTTGGGGCCCTTTGCAAAAACAGGTTGAAACCAGAGAGCAGTGTTGAGCCTTACCGAGGCAGAGGAGGGACGGCAGAGCCACCCGGTCACAGGGAGGCAGCAGCACACGCAGCTTCAGGGCAGGGGGTACACAGCCCTGGGGCAGACACTGTGGGGAGAAGGGATGCTGCCTTTCTGATCAGGTGCTGGCCACCACCTGGCCCACCTAAAGCAATACCTAAAAGTACTGTCCTGAGTGCTTTGCAATTGTCGTAGCCAGTGGTGCTATGGGTGAAAGCACTTCTAGCAAAGGTGGACCAAGGTACCCCTTTCTCCAGCGTCAGCAGGGGACTTTCCCGAGCAGGATCTGCAAGGCCACTGCTACCTGGTGCACTTTCTGAGTCACCACATGCTTTTCCAGAGATCTCATCATCCTAATACTCAAGCATCTGAACACTCGTTTAGATGGGAATCCCCCATGGGAGAGGAGCAAGGTAGTTCACAAATATGATGATGGCCCCGTGAAGAGGTAGAAATTTGTTGCTGTTTATTGAATAACGATGGAAGCCAAGGAAAGGAGGGTTTTAAGAAAGAGTTGTTGACTTGGGAGGTCAACTTTTCAAAGGGCTGATCACCTGCTGCATTTTTTCGAATCAGGGAGTGCTGTGAAGGCTCATCATCCCCAAGCTCTCATTCTTGAGTGTCCTGAGACAGTCACTAGATCACGGAAACCATAGGCCCATGTGGCTGAAAGCAGCCTGCTCCATGGGACAGTGAGTTACCCAGTCCCTCCTGGCAGGTACTTGTCCAACACATTGAAAATCTCCCATGAGAGACACTCTGCTCCCTCCCTAAGTAGCGTACTTGAGTGTGTAAGTAACCTCACAGCTTTTAGTACTCTCTATCCTAAATCTTCGTTGCTGTACCTCCTGTCGTCCCCACAGAGATAAGGGCCAATTGATTATTCTTTTTGATACCATATATTTTTTTACATCTTTAAAGTTTATCATAATGTTTCAAATTCTGTAGACTAAACAATCCCAGCCCTTTCAATCGTTCCTCATAAGTCATGTTTTCTAGACCTCTGATCGTTTTTGTTGTTCTCCTCTGGACAATTTCCAGTTTGTCTGTATTTTTTCTTTTTTATTTAAGTGCAGGGCCATGGCTCAGCCTCTCAGTGCTGAAAATGGCAATAAACCCCTTCTGTGTCTTACCTACAACACTCCCGGTCTCGCAGCCCAGAAGGACTTTTGCTTTTCGCAGCAGCAGCAGATTATTGACTCGGGTTCGGCTGTGCTCGGTATTAAGGAATGCTTGCAAGTTTGGGCAAGGTCACTTGGAAAGACTGCGGGAGATCCAGGATCTCCCAGGGTTATGCTGTAACTCCATCTTTGCTTTGGCTCACCAGGTTCCCAAGCCAGATCCCCTTGAAAACAGTTTCTCGATGGGAAAGGGGACCAGGCCCTAATTATTCTGTTCTCAGCTGTGTTCATCACTAATTCTATTAATTTTAACAGCAAATATTTAATGTTTGAGTCATTTTTTACAGTAGGGGAAAAGTTGCAGGCAAAAAAAAAAAGAAAAAAGGGAAGGGAGGAGAATGCGTTTTGTTTTTAACTTTCCTCCCCTTCCCTTGCTGCAAACTCAGAGCTGAATCCTGCTGCAGAGGCAGCCTGTGGTGGCGGGCAGCTTTTCTTTGATCTTAGCCAAGAGCTTCGTAGGTTAAGCCTGTGTTTTTTCACTGTAACCATTTATCAAACAGTACAGTCCTTTCCAAGGGCAGCCTTTTTCTTGCGCAGTAATATGTTTATAATTATAATGCATTTCCTGCTTCTTTTTGATTAAACACACCTGACAAAGTAGGAAAGATGTCGATGCATAAATAAACGGGCACTCTGAGTTCATCGCTTCGTCAGTCCTTTTTTTCCAAACGCCAAGGAGTTCACTGCGAGGTGAATCCTCTAGTTGAGAAGGAAACAACTGGGGAGTGCATATATGAATAGCGTGCAGGGTAATTTATCCCTGGCATTGTTCCTTAGCCTGACCTGAGAGCCATTAATAATTGACAGCAGCAAAAACAATCCATTTTTAAAAATATAAACATCCATACTTTTTTTCCAGCTACTTGAAAGCTCCCACACAGAAGTTAAGCAGTCATATTCTCCGTGGCACAAAGGAGCTGAGACCTGCTAATTAGCGGACTGCTAATAATGTGTTCAGCGGCTATCTCTGATGAGGTCGCCTGGGGTGCAAACAAAGCACAGTGTGTACAGAGAAATGGGTGCCTCAGGCTGCCGTTGCCACCAAAGTCAACGGGGCTCCTCCGGGTTTGTGCTGGAGAGCTGAGAGATTGATCTGGCCTCTTCTGTTTATTGACGTTTCCAAAATAGTAGCAGAGTAGCAAGGAGCCCAACTGCTCTGTCACTCGGCAAGTCACCCGCCGGCCCCAGCTGCCGCCTGCCATTTCTCTCCCTGGGGCTCTTTGTTCGCCTGCACTTCTGTCTTTTCTGTTGCAAGAACCTTTTCTGAGAAGAGCAAGGAGCAGCATGTCTCGAG